AAACTTCAATTTTATCTTAATTGAGGAAATCAAGTCTTCGGAAGAGTTGCAGCAATTAGTGTGTCTAATCCATGAGGGAAAAGAAAGTAAGCAATTGGACTTCTAGAATGGTGTTTGATACTTTTTAAAAAACATATCTATCACTCTCCATACTCCACACTAATTCCAGTCATACTCTCGCCATTCCACCATCTTAAACATAAAGGATACTAAAAGAAACCCAAGCCCGTTGCAAGTGATATCTACTTGAAAGGCAATAAACAAACAAATCCAAGAATTCATTCAGTCGCTAGTGCCACAAAGCAGATCACCATAACTGCTGCAGCTTCTGTTTATTCCTCAGCACATGCAAGCAGATGTGTCCATGGATTAGATGGTCTTTCTCCAACCCCAGGGAAAACGACTCCCTGCCACAGTCCCTAATCAACCAGCTTTCAAATGCAAAATCAAACCTTTGGACAAAGTTTACTGAAAAAAGAATAAGAGCTACACGTGAACTAGGTGTTTGTATCGTTTGTGTTAAATAACTATTTTGTACAGTAAATTTAGTGTCTCTGTTTGGAGCCATTCGATTGTAAAAAGTTGCCACCTATTAAAATGTTATGATACATGTGTTAGCACTGGGAACCCTGTGAAGGTTTACTAGAGGCATTGAGTTATGTAATAAAGCATGAGTAAGGGTTGTTATTGCACTATCCTGTCAGGTAGACTTGGGGGACCGGTTAGTTTGAGCTGTTATTTTCCAAACGCTCATGTATAAATAGAGGAATATCAATCAGATTGTGTCAATAAAACCGAAGTAAACTTTCATCCTCTCCTTCCCATCCTTGGCCTGGTGCCACTGGGGTTGTCATTGCTTCCATCCAGAATCGCAAGGGAGAGAATGCTTAATAATCTTTCATATTCACCAATCTCCCAGTCATTCAAATTTCTCGAAACAAAAACCTACTAAACCCTCTTCCCCCAATCTACTTCCACGAAAGAGCCACAAATCTTTACATTTTTCTTCTGAGCTATTACAAAAATCTGAGGAAACTGGTCCCTGAGGGTACCACCTTCCAACTATTGATTTTCCCATCATCTTACTCCATCTCCCTTGCCAACCTTCCACTTGATGCACTCCTGAAACATCTTTCGGCCTCCACCAATCTTTTTCCACACGCTTTTCCATGAGGTCTACTCCCCACTCTTGTGAACCACCCTCTCTCATCAGTACCTAACTTGGCTGGTATTACCCTTCTCCAAAGCGCTTCTTCCTCTTTCATAAACCTCTACAGCCATCCATCATCTTGAACATAAAGGATATTAAAAGAACCCCAAGCCCGTTGCACATGATATCTACTTGAAAGGCCAAAACAACAAATCCAAGAATTTATTTAGTTGCCAGTGCCACAAAGCAGATCACCATACCTGCGGCGGCCCTGTTTATTTCTCAGCACATGTGATCAGATGTGTCCATGGATTAAATGGTCTTTCTCCACCCCCAAGGAAAACAACCCCTTGTCATGGTCCCAAATCAGCCAGCTTTCATAGCAAAATCAAATCTTTTGCCGAATTTTATTATAAAAAGAATAAGCGCTACAAGTGAACTAGGTGTTTGTATATTTTGTGTTAAATACCTATTTTATACAGTAAGTTTAGAGTCTCATATTTAGAGCAATTTGATTGTAAAAAGCTGTCACCTAATAAAATGCCATGACACGTGTTAGCACTGGGAACCCTATGAAGGTTTACTAGAGGCGTCGAGGTATGTAATAAAGCATGGGTAAGGATTGTTATCGCACTTATCATGTCAGGTAGACCTGTGGGACCAGTTGGTTAGAGCTGTTATTTTCCAAATGCTCGTGTATAAATAAAGGACATCAATCAGATTGTATCAAAATAAACTTTCATCCTCTAGTTCTCTCACAGCTAACTATCTCTCCTACCTTCTCTCTCTCTCTAACTTTTCTCTTACTGTAACCTACTTCTTACTTGTCAGAGCTCATGTCCAAGGCTCTTTACAACAAGATACACCAGAAATCTACAAAGAGAAAATAGAATAAGGTGAAATTGACGTAATTGTTGTTGAGAGTTGGATTTAGTTTTAAATGGCTATAACTAGTGAAGCACCATAAGTACATCATAGTTGAACGGTTTACAACTTCCCTTTGGCTATTGGATTGGGGATGATATGTGGAACTCACTGAGAGCTCTGTGACGCATACTCTAGAAAGTTCCCACCAAAAGGTACCAGTAAAAGTGACATCATGGCTGATCATCCCCTCGGCTACTCTCTCACTGCCCCCAGGATAGCTACTCTAGAAGCTGTTGACAATGAGCTGGAATAGGATCAGGTGATGTTGACGTAATTGTTGTTGAGAGTTGGATTTAGTTTTAAATGGCTATAACTAGTGAAGCACCATAAGTATATCATAGTTGAACGGTTTACAACTTCCCTTTGGCTATTGGATTGGGGATGATATGTGGAACTCACTGAGAGCTTTGTGACGCATACTCTAGAAAGTTCCCACCAAAAGGTACCAGTAAAAGTGACATCATGGCTGATCATCCCCTCGGCTACTCTCTCACTGCCCCCAGGATAGCTACTCTAAAAGCTGTTGACAATGAGCTAGAATAGGATCAAGTGAAATTGACGTAATTGTTGTTGAGAGTTGGATTTAGTTTTAAATGGCTATAACTAGTGAAGCACCATAAGTACATCATAGTTGAACGGTTTGCAACTTCCTTTTAGCTATTGGATTGGGGATGATATGTGGAACTCACTGAGAGCTTTGTGACGCATACTCTAGAAAGTTCCCACCAAAAGGTACCAGTAAAAGTGACATCATGGCTGATCATCCCCTCGGCTACTCTCTCACTGCCCCCAGGATAGCTACTCTAGAAGCTGTTGACATTGAGCTGAAATAGGATCTGTTCTTACACGACTAGGAGATGGCTCTCTCCAAGAATAAACTACCATGAAACTCATTTATGATTGAAAGCATAGTGAAAGCATTTCAAGCTTAGGGGCAAGGTACTCTTAAAGCTGTAACTGTACCAGCAATTATCTTAACTGCAAGAGGCTCCAAAAAGCTGGCTTGAAATTACCATAGTCCATTCTGCATTCTGGACAAAATTGATTGGTTGCCTAAAATAGGACTTGCCACCTGTAGTTTGTTATCCATCCAATTCTTCCGGGTATATTGCTCAAAACCATTTCAAAGGAGGAATCAATAGATCCTATACTAGCCATCAGTACATGCAGGTGAGATTCTTCCCAGCCCCCAAGTTGTGCTTAAGTAATGACCAGAGGCGGGAAGCAGCAGCTGTTAATGCACTGGGAAGTAAGGGAAACAACATACCAAATGCATTTACAAGTAGTTCAAACTCGGCTTAACCAAATATCATTCATATTCAGTTAAACCCAAATTCAAACTGATTCCAAGCCTAAAAAAAGTCATTTAGTTAACAAACCAAGCTCATGCTCCAAATTATTTTATTCAAAAGCTCATGTATATGTCTGTTTATCCAATAATATATTAAGCATGTTTTATATTTCATCTATTAAAATATATTATAGTAACATAATAATTTTAAATTTTATTAAAGTCTTATATAAATATTATGACAAATAACTAAATTAGTTCCCGAAATTTAACATTTTATTACTATTTGCTCTCTAATACTTTTTCGTAACAATTGTTTCCCACATTTTCCATTTGTTTTAAATATCCAGTTTCTTCCATTTTCTAACAGAAAAAAATTAAAATAATTAGGTCATTTTTGGACGCTTTAAAAAACAACTCAAAAAATTATTTCGATTAATTAATGAAATTAATAAATTAGTAACAATAAAAAATTAAACGTAATATTGTTATTAAGTTACTAATTTAATTAATTAGTCAAAACTATTTTTTTTAACTTTTTTTTAAGCGCCCAAATAAGGCCTAAACATTTTGAGCCTTTTTTGTCAAGAAATTGAAGGGAACTAAGCGTTTGAAACAAATGCAAATGTCATGAACTAAATTGTAACAGGAGCCAAATTTCAAAAACTAATTTAGTAATTTACTTTAAATATTATAATGTATAAATAAATATATTATATCTTTCATAAAAATGAACTGTTGCTATCTTTTTATCAAGCTTATGAAGTTCTAAAATTGAGGTTTTTTTTTCCAAATCAAATTCAAACTTTAAATGAACCAAGCTTGAGCCCAAGACAGAGTTCAAATTAACTTCACGGCAAACTCAAGTCTAACAGTATTCAAAGTAATCAAGCACCTTTCCACAGAGAAGAGTGATGTTAAGTGCATGAACCAGAGCTGGTTTACTGGACGAGTCTACCAATGTGAGACCCACAAGAAGTATGAATCAAAAGAAGAAGGGAAGTCACATTTAAAAGAAGGCAAATTGACTTCTGCTTCTGTTTCTGTTTAGGATTCTAATGCAGACAGTTCTACAGGTGGAATTCACATAGAATTCACCCTAACTTTGTACTCTACTTTTACATTAAATAAGAACTCTACAATTAGGAGAGTTGTTTAGGATATTAGTTATTGATCCTAAGTTGAAGCAATGCTCCCTATAAATACATAGCTTAATAATGGATTAAGCATCCGGTTTTAATCCTTCAACCAGAACTATTCTCTAGAGGTTGTGGGTTCTCCCTGACGATAGAACATTTATTAGTAGTCATAAGTACTGAAAGTCAAACAAGTAAACTTCATGCTTGCTGGAAGATTTCTTTATTCATAGACCTGTGACCAGATCGCAAGCAAGAGGACCAAATAACCATTTCATGTCTCCTTCAGCTCAAACACAGACCAAAAAACTCATAGGCTTTCCC